ATTCTGACTTTTTTCCCCATATTAAACTGAAATAAAATTTTAAAAATCAGTTAACTTTTTTTTTTTCTCACTGGCCCTAATCCTCTTCCGTACATAATGGTGAGATGAAGCCTCAATGATTTCCTCAGTTCATGAAGCTTCATGTGAACATGTCACCACCTACTGGTGGAGTGCAGAACTACAGTTAGTAATATAATCTGATTTTTGCAATTGTTATTTTTTCCCATTTAATTTCCTTTTAAATTGTTAATGATTGGTGTGTATAATAAAAATTTTGTAATTTTTAAAAATCTTAAAATGAAAAGAACAATCAGGTACACTGTTTTTTTGCTCAAGCAGACAGTGAAAGTTTTTGTGCAAATTGGGCAATGAGGAGCAAATGAAAGCTGTTAGTCATTTTTATTCAAACATTATAGTTTTGTCCAGTTTTTTTTCTTTTTTTTTTTAAACATATCTTTATTACCGTTTTCAACTTATACAGGAAAAGCTTTGTACAAAAGCATAAAAGCTTCTTATAATAAACTTAAAAGGTGAATAAACAAACCGCTACAACGACGGCAACAAAAAAAAACACCACAAAAGACAGAAAGACAGAAAAATAAAATAAATAAAAATAAGTAAAGTCAATAAATAAAACTAAATCAGGAAAACCTGTAACAATATGTTCAAAAAAGAATAATAAAGAGTTCGGACAGTTTTGGTTTTAATCGGGTTGGACGTTATGTGTTCAACCAATCTTTTGGCTAAACCAACCAATCTAATTTTGCTGTGTTGTTTTTTTACAATCTATATTTTAGGGTTTCTGCTGGTTAAAAGTCATTAAATTATTATTTTTTAAATTAAGGCCTTGATTGGCATTAAAATTCATTAAATGTGATTATTTTGGCATTTAAACTGCTTTATTTAAAAAAAAAAAGTTTATAAAAACAATTTCGTCAGATATATTATATCGCCATATATTTGTGCGGAACTGCTTCAGGTTGATCGTAAAGCCGTATGTTCGGCGAAAAAGCTGGAGGCGGAGAAAAAGCTAGAGAATGGGGGAAAATGCGAATTTTAACAAAAAGTGGCTGGAAAATGAGGAATTCGGGAAATGGCTGCAGCCTGTCGACTGTAGAGATGATGAAGGATTTAGCCATATCATATATATATGGGCCACTAGACTGCTGAATGTTTTGTACAATGGGTTATTTTATTGCATTTTATTATATTTATTATATTTTATCATTATATATGTGTATATATACCGTATTTTCGCGACTACAAGGCGCATATAAACATATTTTTTTCCCTCAAACTTTGCGGTGCGCCCTATGTGTGGCGTGGGA